AACAAGACAATCCTACTTCTGATGGCCCCGGGTCTTATGGGATATGTAAGTCTTCTATCCCAGCCATCACCTTTACTAAATAGCAATAAGGAGCTTAGCCATTGTGAGGACCAGTCACTCTCCCACACCTTTTCCAATGTTCTCCTTCACCCACTGCAAGAGCTTCACCCACAGAGTCAGGGCTTAGAGAAGCTAAAGTAATAAGGTCATGTTGCAGATAAGCAGTGTACTCCATAGATATAAATCTTTTTCTAAAGTACCTTTTCTCTCTCCAGAGTCTTTAAGTCGCTCTGAGTGCCTTTGTAATATAACACTTGTTGCTCTGTACGCACAAAATCTATTTGCACATAGAGAATATTGTATTTCATAAAGTGAAGTTCACTTGAAAGGTCATTACGGCAACAAAGATGAACAAGATGACAGACAAGAGAAAAGTCACACAATATAAAGATCATTAGAAGACCGAGAAAGAGACTATATGAGGAAACTGACCAGGCTCACTTGGCCCAGAAATGAGAATGGGGATTTGATGATGGCCTTCTAATCTACAAAGGACTCTCACAAAGAATGCTATGCATAAAGTACATAATGGACAGCATGAGTCTGGGATAACTGCATGGGATAATGTACGTCCAGTGCTTCAAAGTCTAGCAAGCATTTCATATACATCATTTTATTTAAATAATTTTATAGCATTGAGTTGAATTAAAAGTGTAAATGTCAGATTAATTTTGCTATGTGCATATACGTAAGACTAGAAAAAACACAAATATTATTGATAAAAATTGAAGGATTACTGAAGACAAACATTTCCAATGAGTAGGTTTTAATTATATGGAAGAATGAGAATTCATATAGTCTGTGTTCTACCACCTAAAATCTGGGTAATTTAAGGAGCAGTTTAATTTAACTGAAGGTACAGGTAGGTATAGTTGGACATGCCAACAAAACATCAATCAGAATGAGCTCAAGTTCAAAGAGAAAGTATGGATGTATGAAAACTGCAGACTATCAGTGAAAATAGATTTATAGAAAGCAGTGAAGTTAGGAACAGAGGCTTACAGGGAATGCATGAAGCAATGGGAACAAATAGAATGATATAAAAGACTGGACATGAGATTTCTGATAACTTATGAGAACAAAAGAATATGTAAGATAGAACCCTCTAAATCATTATTCTTGAGGTCTTGTCCATCCCATTACTTATATTTGTAGGCCTACATAACTAAAATGGGTGCTTGATATAACAGTTAAGAATGACCATGTAAATATGCATGAATATGTATTATCATATCTAAGGAATTCTTAGATGAAGGTATCATCTTCTGGGATAATGCTATCATATCTTTATCTTTAAGATTATTCATTCAACAAATAGAAGAACTTGATAGAGGGCTTGTTAGGCCCTGAGGACACAACAGGGAATAAAAGAAATAGATGGTTGCTCTCATGGAGATTATGGTCTTGTACATGTGTTGTGGAAATGGGAGAGGAAGACAGGCAGGCAACAAAGAAGTAAAACGCTGCAGTCTGCAAATGACTGTAAGTGTTATTAAACATTAAATATTAAATATTAGTAGAGAACAGAGATGCGAACTTTTGGTGAATTAATGAAAAAATAACATTTGTTGTTCAGGTTAAAAATGAGGTGAAAGGAGAAACGAAATTGCATTTAAGTACATTGCCAATTTTTATGTAATAAATACATTTAATAGAATATGTACAGAAAAGAGAATAAGAGGAAACATATAGAAATATTAAGCTGATTAACTTTTTTTTAAAGATACGGTCTCAAGTACCAAACTGGCCTCAAACTCATTATAGCCCAGGCTGGGCTCAAATTTGCCATATTTTCCTGCCTCAGCCTCCAAGAGTACTGGAACTACAACTGTGCACCACCACACCCAGCTACTAATTAACTTTTCTAAAGGAATGGATGGACAAAATGACCTCTCAAAAGGGTATTTTTAGCCTTTATATTTGGTCTCATATACTACATATATGATGGACTCACAATAAATGCTTCTACTCAGTACCTAGAGAGAGAGCAGAGGAAGTAATTCATTACCTATTTTCTATAAGTGCAAATTCAAACCAACTGGTTCACAATCACCTGTGGTTTTATTTTTATAAAAGGAAGAAGCAATAAGTTTCCAGCTGTGCAACCATAAGCTTCATTTGTTTGGCCATGAGTTCACTTGGAACAGGTAAAGGAATTCAAATATATTGGTGTAGTGTACCTCAAGAATTTGTTTTTTCTTTTTAACTCAGGGGAGTTTAAGAAAATACTTTCATTTATATTTTAGATGATTGTTATCCTTCCCTCAAACATCGAGACTCAAGCTGGTAAAAAGCCACAAGCACTCCTAGAGGGACCATTATATATGCTTCCTTTGATTGAAATTAGTCCCCAACTTCCTCTTAATATAAGCACTGCAGAAGCACCATAAGTTTAGTATAAAATTGATTTGTTCATTATTAGATATCAAAATGATAAAAACATTAATACCTCTGCAGGGTACAGTGAAAAACTTTTGCAAAAATCAGCTGTTAAAATAATTTCCATTTAGCTAACAAATAGTAGGTAATTGAGGAATGAGCCAACGTGTATCTTTGTAAAGGGAAGTTTATGTCCCACTGGTGCTTATAAAGCATTTCTCAATTTGTAAAACTATGCTTTCTTGTATGTTTCTAGAGCATATAAAAGTACATTGGAAATGACATAACATCCTTTGGTTTTATGTAGTAATATTCTCTCCATTCATGTATACAAATCTTCAACATTATAATTAATTCTGGAACAGACAGTTTGCTTTGAAATAGCCATATATCAATAACATTGCAACTACCACGTGGGGAGAATAGCAGAGTGTCAGTCTTTGATGGTTCTAAAATGTTGGGCGCGGTACTGAAACAGGAATCTTCCTCAGTGTTTGAACCATGACCTGGCTGCCAATGAGGAAATTACTATTGTCTGACACTGTTATTCTTTTCATTACCATATGTATCTGTGATCTGTAACTATACAACATTGGACTCTTACAAGATGGTTTCTTTCCCCTTTGTTTCCTGTAGTCACTGGGGCATAGAGAAATCTGTCTAAAGCATTCAGTAAGCCTTAAATTCTATTTCCTGTGGGTAAAATCCTTTTTATTCTCATAACCTTTTTTGTATCAAATAAGAATAATGGCAAAGATGTTATTGAAAAAATGACTCATTGTGCTCTGAAGCTTTACAGTATAAGGGGAATCATGATGGATATATAGCTACACATTACACTGATACATAGACCTATTGTAGGCTATTGCCAGACTCCAGATTGTTTCTCATATGTACACTTTGGTGCTGATGACAGGGCAATCATCATGTTAAGGACAGTATAAATAGAGCATGTTCCATGATCTATACATAATGTTAGATTCTTTTTGTTTTGAAAATTGATTTAAGTATTTTGCCTTTTGTTTGTAATATTATGGCTTTTCACACAAGTGTATTTATAAAGTTGGCTTTGGTATCAGTCAATTTTTGTTACAGTGACATACAACTTATATTATTACATTGTATTATATAGTATACTATATATTATAGTACACTATATTATGATGGCTTATATTATTAAAGATGGATATGCCAATTGCCCTGCCCCACCCTTATACATTTCATACACATATACTGTATTGAAAGATCACACTGTACCCTATAAATATAAACATTATTATGTGTTAATTCAAAAGAAAGAAATGTAACACTGTTGCATTTTTTTAAAGGCTTCTTTCTTGTTCACAGGCCTATGAATTGACTGCACCCTTGCTGAGCTCTGGGCACTTTTTCAGTCAAGAACTATTGGGGGAAAGCTCTTCCTTTGGGGAGGTCAAGAGCTCAAGAGGCCAAGCCAACTCCTGCAAGCAATCAGACACTCAGGAAGGATTTTGGGTATGTCACATCTGTTCACATCCCATCAACCCAAGAAAGCCACGGTCAAGGTGGTAAAGAATCCCTAGGGTGGGGAAGAGTGTGAGAATAAATGCTAGCTGAATAATATAATCCATAATGACCACAGATTAACATTACAAAACTAATTAAATACTAAAATATCAATGCAAATTTAAGTACAATTGTAATAGTTATAGTGACAAGTACATACAAAGGGTGTGATTGTTTGGGAACCAGAGTAGAAGTTTAGAAAAAGAAATCTACCAAATAAATTACACTTAATAAAGTATAGAACCAAAGCATATTCAATTCTCTTTGAAACTTCCTTCATACCTCATACTGGTCTCTACCATTTTATTTGGCAGTTTGCTTTCCAATTACTTATGTCAGAAAAAAGAGCACTATTTTTTTTTTTCATTGCATACCTGAGGCCTAGTAAAATTCCTGGCCTCAATGCATGTTTGTTGAATGACTACATAAATAAATGCAGAAATAATCCAAAATATGTTGCTCTTATTTTTTCTTTTCAGTGCTGCAATCATTTATATTTTATAACTATAAAACTATCATATTTACTTTTCTCCTCTGTGTCCTGTTCCTTTTGTTTTTATTTTTATTTTATTTTATTTATTTATTTATTTATTTTCAAGACAAGGTGTCACTTTAATTCAGGCTGGCCTTGAACTCACAGTGATCCTTCTGCCTCAGCCTCCCAACAGCTGGGATTATAGGCACATACCACCATACTCAGCATTTTGTTCCTTTTCTGAGGGTTTTTTCACTTTTGTTTCCCTTAGTGAAGTTATTTTATTTTAAATAAATAAAGTCGAACACTCTTGTTTATATATATAGTATATGTATGTATTATTTTCCTGTGGATAAGCTTCACGTGCATGTGAGAAAGAGAGAGGGAGGGAAAGTTAAACAAAAAGACATGAGAAGAGAGATAAAAAGAAGGAAAGAGATCTATACATTTAGGAAGCATAATTGGAGTGTTCACTACTGTAACTGGTGAAAATCAGTTCTTGAATAAGATTCTTCCTGCATTTCTTTTGTGATTTACTTACTGGGAAAAGCTTCAGAGATGACATTCTGCATTTATGAGCTTGTCAGAAGAACAGTTACCTGAATAGCACTGTTAAAAAAAAAAAAAAGGTCAAATAGGTTGTACATTGTGGTTCCTTTTTAGGCAACAGCAAACAACCATTTAAAGGAATGATAAAGCTGATGACAAGAAAGAAAGAAAGAAAGAAAGAAAGAAAGAAAGAAAGAAAGAAAGAAAGAAAGAAAGAAAGAAGTAGGATGTAAACATTTCTATTACCTTTAAGCATATTTAATAAACATCAATTTCTATAAAATTATTACTGAACTTGACTCCCTTGTGTATTTTCCATGACTTAAGCTTCACACTAAATAATTGTTTTACAGTGAAGTTTCTTGAAAACTTCACCTTAGCAAGTCACAATAAATAAATATTTTACAATGAAGTTTATTCAAAATTGCATCTTGGGGGCCAGGGATGTACCTCAGTGGACCATGCCTGCCTGGCAAGCTCAAAGTCCTGAGTTCTAACGCGGTACTGCAAAAAAAACCAAAAAAACCAAAAAACAAAAAAACCCCAAAACCAAAACAAAACTATCTTAGAAAGTCATCCAAAAATAATATGGAGATATCATCTTTACAATTCCCCTTGCTTACTCCAACCACAGCTTTCCAACTCTGGAGGTGCTTTTAGATAGACTAAGTAGAAAATATTATCCTAATGTAGCCGCACAGAAGAAAACGGAATTTGCTCCTTCCTTTTACATGTGCATATCACATCACTACAGGAGATGCAATTGTTCATGATAAAACTTAGTTAAGTATTCATTCAGTGACCTTAGCCCTTTTTTCTTTTAGGCTAAAATGTGATAACAATGTAGAGACTAAGTGAATTATTCAAAAACTATACAGCAAAGCCAGCTTGTTTCATAAAATATCAGATTTGTGAGGAATATTTGGAAGATTTTAAAAAGATAAGACATATCATTGCAGAAACAGTGAAGTGATTACAAATAGTCAACATCTGAAACCTTCAAATTCTTCGCTTAAAGCTGAAATTTATTTACAATACAATAAAATCAAGTTATTTTTGTCTGAAAAGTGACTCTATTTATAAGATTTCATCTGATACAAACTCTGCTAAGGCTCACAATAAAAAAACTATAGAATTGAGCTCCCAACAGCAGAGTGAGAACACACAATTTTTGTAGGGATTTACTTTTAATTTATATTTGACAAATGTTCTTAACAGATGGAAAAAGTAAGAGACTTGTCATAAAACCTTTGGCTTAGTTCCATGAAAATGTTCCATTTAATGAACAGGAAATAAGGTGTAGAATGTACTTTTAAGCAAACTAAGAGTTCATTTCTCCAATTCATAAAAGCTATTCATTCCCTCTACTTTCAATCTAAATAGGTCTTCATCCGATAACTCTCAATAGACTTTACTTTTTAATGTAAGCCCAAGAAGACATGTTCATGTCACTCTCTTCCATTAAAGACAAGCAAAGAGCAATTTCTTTTTCCTCTTTTTTTTTTTTTTTTTGGTATTAGGGATTGAACTTGGGACTTGAACTTGTGAGACAGGCAGCAGGACCACTAAGCTAAATACCCAGCCTGAGCAATTTCTTTTCAAAATTATTGAATGCTAGGCAGCGACCAGGTTGGTAGTTATGTTGTAATGAAAAGGAACTTGCCTCGTGGCACGTTCCCGGTTTATCTGACACTATGACAACATTTTCAGGCAAAACACTAGAGCTTGCTAGAATGAAGTTAAATTTTATAGAATGAATTTCAGATTAGTGGTGCTAAGCAGGAAGTTGTTGAATTATTTAGACTTTGGGCAGAGCAAGAAAGGAAAATGGGTAAGTATAGTATCACAAATTGCAGGCTAGATTTAATTGGAAAGCTAACAGGCAAAGGAAGGGGCAAGTAGTCAATGGTACTGACGGGTGTCGGTACAAGCAAGGCAGACAGCATTTCTAGCAGTAATTCAGAGCTCAAGATGACTTTGCATTCCAGGAACATAGTCCAATGTTGAGACTTAGAAAGAGATCCATAGCTGGCTGGGCACACCTGTAATCCCATACTCTGAGAAGCTGAGGAGAAGGGTTACAAGTTCCAGTCCAACATGGGCAATTTAGCAACTCAGTAAGATCCTGTCTCAAAATTTAAAAATTTAAAAAGGAGAGGAGTTCTAGGTTCAATAGGAAAAAAAGACCCTCTACCAAAGACAGATGATTAATTCTATTTTTAAAACTTGATTATCTTCCAGATTGTTTTCATTGAGCAATTACCATGTGATTCAGCTTTTGCCTTGTGGGGATTATAAAGTTACCATCAGATTTTATAATTGGAGAGTAAAGAAAAGAGCAGAAATTGTCTATGATCATACTCTGTTTTGTAAGTCTGTGTTTCCCAGAAAATTCCTGTTATATCCAGTGAAGATAGGCAGCAAAAATCAAGTAACTTCTTTCCTATATAAGTAGGTTGGTGAAAGAAATACAACAAGGTGCCATTTTATTTTACAACTGAAAAATAAGTGATTGTTTTTAAATTACTCCACAGATCCAAGTCTTCTTGAGAAGGTAAAAGCTCTGACGGCATTATGCATGGGATAATTCTTTTGTATATAGCATTAAAAAGTCTTGAGGCTTGAATTACATCCTGAAAAAATTAGCACTAACCGGGGCTGCTCCATCACACTTTGTGTAGACAACTGCTTCTGCCAGCTTGTGGATTGTGTCCCTGCCACTCTGTCCATTTCCTAAGAAGCTTGTTTCAGGTTCCACGTTGGAAGGAGCTATACAATAAAGGAACACACTTGGCTCTTCTCATTGTGATGATGAGGAGGAGAAAACAAAAGCCCTCCCTCCTCCTGGATTTTGAGGTTCCTGGTGTCAGAAAAGGATGTGAGATGGATGCATATCCTTGAGGAAAAATGGGCAAAGGGAATGGGAGTGGGTCTTGGCTCCTCTAGAGAACAGAGAGGATGCAACCTTGTAAACTCTAACGGAATCTCCACCCCTATAACCTTTCCGTTTGTGTGCAAAGCTGGCTTGGACTGAGGAGAGAGGAATAATTCTTTAAAGTTATTTTATTTTGATTTTAGTTTATGAAGGACAATACTGTATTCCTGTACTCCATGTGAGCAAATTATTTCTGGGTGTAAACAGTGATAGATTAAATAAGGGGATTAATTTTGTATAAAACATATGTTCTTCCCTCTGAAGGGACAGCGAAAATACTATTCTTTTCCCTTATTCATTCATCAAACATTTAAAGAAGGATGACAATGTATAGTCATTCTTAGTGGGACAAGATGTTGCTATGAACAGTTACCCACAATAGTATAAATGCAGTAGCTTACTTCTTATTTAACAAAATAAATCATATCAGATTCAAAGGCGATGCTTTATGGCTCTTTCAGGTAGAAATATGCCAAGTATGTGGGAATAAGATGAAGAGTAAAAGTGTTGTTGTCTTTAGGCTTTCCTAGTCACTCTAAATCAACAACTGCCCCCACAAAGGGATGGTGACACAGATAAGATACAGCTATAGTTCAGCATGTCAGAGTGAAAGATTAATTGCAATCAGCAATAGTCAGGAAATTCCTCCTGAAGGTGGACAGAGTGGACAAAATTACATGATATATGACTTTAAAAATAAGGTTACTCCTTAATTATTAAACGATACATTTAAAAAACATGTACTGAGTTCCTAAGTACTAGCGACCCAATGATAAACAAGGTAAAAGCCATGCCCTTGAATATTTCAAGCAGGGGATGAATATATCAAAAAGGGAAGAAAAAAACGCCACCAAAGAACAAATACAATGTTACAGCACCATACACACAGTGCTAGAACAGAAGTGATATATTATTCTAGAGGAGAAAAAGCTTGCTTGGGCCGGGGGAGGGGTAGGTAAAGTAAAGTGAAGTTATGATGTCTGAACTGATGTCAAATGATGATGTCATTTGTTCCTCATTCTTCTGATTTACCTGAATTAGAGCCGGCCATGTTCACAGTGCTAGGCCTTCATGGACTGGTGGCAAAATGGTGGACCAGACAGGTGACAGTAAGCACAGTGGCAGATTTAATGAAATACAAGGTGGACAATGTTACTGAAGACAGGAGCTCAATGTATATGGGAAGTTGAGGAAAATCTTCATAGAAGGCAGCTTTTAAAAGATGCGGAGGTATATGCTAGGTGGATCTTGATTAGGGTACCTTAGATGAAGGGAATTCAAGATGATGACATCAGGAGTAAGGGAATGAGGTTGATGTATACACAGAACTGAAAGAAGTTGGATATGAGCAGAGCTTTGGGCAAAAAAGGGGAAGCAAAAGATCAGGTTGGCAGGGATCAGGGTGCAAAAGGCCTATAACCCAGGCTCAGAGTTTGAATTTACTCTGTAGATTAGCAACTTTTCAGCTGGATTCCATTACATTTTTTACTTCCATGGATGTACCATAGAAAGGTATGGAGCACAGCAAAAGGGCAAGTTTTACAGTCCATGAATGCCAGGGTTTCAAGCTTTAAACATTAATATTTAGGCAATGTAAAGTCTTTGAACACTTTTAGAGGAGGGAGTCATAAGCTACTAATTGTATTTTTGTATCATCGATTCATCTATGATGTAATCCTGTAAATTTGCCCAAAGTGCTGTTTTTCCTCTTAATTCATAACTAATAAATCTTACTGTTCATTCTTTCTCTTAAATATCTCTCAAATTCATCTATTTCCTTCCCTTCCCTCCTGGGACTGCTGGTGGATCCAGTCCTTGTCATCTAACCCCTGATTAAGTACAAGAACCTCTAACTTCTTGTTCTGTACTCTGCAGTTAACCCTATTCATTTGTTTTTTTCTGAGATAGCATTTCCCTGTATATTTCAGGCTGGTCTTGAGCTCACTGGGTAGACCAAACTGGCCTCAAACTCATTATCTGTCTGGCCCCTGCCTACTCAGCATATCCTTTTGAATTTCTGATATAAATCTTAAATTTACCATGGTTAAAACAGAATTTTATCTCTTATCCTGCTCCTAGCCCCTCCCCTACTATTTATCAAAAAATCTT